TTGACGCCGAGCAGGGTCACAATGTCAACCGACGCCTCAATTGGTCGATACAAGCCAAAGAAGAGGGGGGTCCAAATTAGGTTGAGGCCGAGTTGAATTGAGTACAGAGTCATTGCACGTCGAGTGTTTGCGATAGTCTCAGGGCTGGAGAAGGGAGAAAGACCAATGTCGGCAACTCGGTAGGCGGCATAACCCATGAGACTGAGAAGGGTTAGTTATGAACATCAATGACTCAGCCTGGCGATCCTCACCCGTATAGGACAGTCCAGACAGGGCCAAACAGCCATGGCGGAGGTTGAACCGAAGGTTTCTTGAGAGCAAGATAGGTCTTTTGAGTCTCTAAAACCAGACAATGAGTCAGTCAATAGTGATCGATTGATATAGATGTTAAGGTCAACTCACGAGTGGCACTGAAGCCAACGGCTGTCCCAAGGCCAATGGGCAGCAAGACTGATAGGGCGGGCTTCAGGAAGACCGTGTCGGGCAGTGTGAGCGCTGGAATATATGTAGTCATGATGAGCACTTTACTGTTGACGACCTTGTTGGAAATAGATGAGAGATGAGCAGAGAATGTTACATCTAGAGGTATCACAGTTGCATGATAATGTCAAACGACTGAAGGGCAATGACGTAATCCATTTTTGGGGGAGGATATCCAATGCCGAGGCCCGGAGTTGTCAGATCATTAACTAGGTGTATAGTGGGCTGACAGATCCGAAACTCAGATGCAGAGCATATTACGGCTCCATCACGATCGAATTAAATGCCATGAATCTACTCCATACGGAGTACGGAGTATACAGAGTAGAACTGTCAATGCTACTCGGTAGCGAACTGGCTACTCAAACGAGACAAGGGGAAATTTCTTACGGCTCGTCTCTAAGCAACGAATGGTACGAACGTACCTAGTAGGTACTAGTGAGCTAATTATCAAAGTAGCTGGGCCAATGAGCAGCCGCAAATCTCAGGGGCCTGGTCTTGATTTACGCGTGGTAGTTGATGCATTGTGGCTGACTTAACCGCGTCTCAGTGCACTGACCACATGTTTAATTGATCGTGGTCCGCAGGTCGCGTTTCTACGCGACTTCAACACGTCTTGTGCCATATCGTGGCGCGAAGCGCCCTGAGGACCCAAATGGGGCTCCATTCTTATTGTTCGACGCAGGACAACCTGTAGCTGCTTTCGGCAAGCACTCCTCTTGCAACTTCCAGACCTTCACAACCCTATACCACTGATTATTGGAAAGTGCTCTCGGTTTACAGCTCTGCATATCTACATAAGTTGGAAGGAACCATTCTAGTCATGGCTCGAGTAACACTAGGAAAGAGAGCCCGCGGCATTGATGAAACTGGTGAGTCTCCTCTGGCGGAAGGAACAAGAGCTTCTCTTTACTAATATTATGATTAAAGATATGCCCTGCCCGGTGGCTACTCCTACGAAACGAAGTCGCCGCCTTGCAAAGACTGTTTCATACAACGACGAGAACCAAGATCCTGCATATTCTCCCTTCGACGATAATGAAGAAAACGACATATTGGCTGAGCTCCCTGCTCGGAACCGAAAGTCTCCCTCACAAGCCTCCACAAAGCAGAATCCTGTTACACCTTCAACACCCCGACATCGAGATGCACTTTCGGTGCCTCCTACTACGCCTCGGCATGCTGTAATGTCGGCAGGCAAACTCTTCAAGCGACTAACACCACAAACACCACTCTCACCAAGCACCATCCAAACCATTTACCATTCAGCACGACAATTGTTTGCCCGTGGAACTGAGCCTGGCCAACTTATAGGCCGAGATGCAGAACGAAATCAGTTAATGGAATTCGTCGGACGATGCTCTTCGCCTACCCCCAACGGTTGCCTTTATGTGAGCGGTCCACCAGGCACGGGCAAAAGTGCCATGATTACCGAGATAAGTCGACAGTTTGCCAACTACAAAGGTGTAATGTCCGCATATGTCAACTGCATGAGTGTCAAATCTTCTAAGGATCTCTACACCACACTTCTCGGCGCGCTTGGCCAAGGTTTCGACTCTTCCGAGGCAGATGCGATTTCGAGCTTGCAGGCCATGTTCGTGCCCAAGACACGGTCGGCAACCGTCTATCTTGTGACATTAGATGAGATCGACCATATCTTGACGATGGACCTGGAAAGTCTGTATCGCTTGTTTGAGTGGTCGCTACAAAAGAACTCATGCCTCATTCTTGTCGGTATTGCCAACGCCCTGGACTTGACTGATCGTTTCCTTCCTCGACTCAAGGCCAAGAACCTGAAGCCTGATCTCCTGCCATTCCTGCCCTATACCGCAACCCAGGTCAAGAATATTATCACCATGAGACTCAGGTCCCTGATGCCGGCTGATGGAAAGGAGGGTCACGTGCCGTTCATTCACCCTGCTGCTATTGAACTCTGCTCCCGCAAGGTTTCGAGTCAGACTGGGGATCTTCGCAAAGCCTTTGAGATCTGTCGCCGTGCACTTGACTTGATCGAGACCGAAACGCGTCAGAAGTGCGAGGAAGAAGCGAGGGAAGAACTTCTACAGATGACCCCTTCGAAACGACCTCTCGGGGAAAACATCAACGGCGCATCCGGTGGCTCCAAGACCGTGTTTCAATTAATGGCGAATTCTTTGAAGGCTCTTACAGCAGAAACTGCGCCACGGGCATCGATTGGACACCTCAACAAAATCACAGCAGCAGCTTTCAGCAACGGAACCACCCAACGACTCAAGGCCCTTAACCTCCAGCAGAAGGCAGCACTCTGTGCCTTGATAGCTTATGAGAAACGAACTCGAGCTGCCGCTAAGATGACCAACAATGGCGGCACGCCTTCCAAGAAGAAGTTTTTGGCACCAACTATCAAGACTTTATTCGATGCTTACTGTCAGCTCTGTACCCGCGATTCGGTTCTGCACCCTTTATCGAGTTCTGAATTCCGCGAGGTTGCCGGTAGTCTCGAAACATTGGGGTTGGTCAACGCATCCGATGGAAAGAACGGAAGCCTTGCCGCACCACAAACACCCAGCAAGCGAGGTCGCAAGACTCTTGCCGCAAGTGGAGATGAGCGAAGAATCACGAGCTGTGTTGCAGAAAAAGAGATCGAATCTGTCGCCGACGGCGCTGGCGCAGGCATCCTAAAAAGTATTTTGAGTGGAGAAGCATTGGATTAGACTACGGACAGGTATCATGGCATAGCACTGAATGGCGTTTTTGGCTTGAGTTATTAACGATGGGTTTTCATCATCATTGTCTTGTATCGTACTGGGCCCAGCGGTAACATGGGTCTGGACGGGCTTCCAGAACTCTTTGGATGGATAATGATACCATGTACATATGTAATTATAGTTAGTCTGAGATTTGTTTGAGTTGAGTTGCAGCATAACGTTAGAGTTGATCAGGGTGGACGAACGGACTACCTAGAAAGTCAACAAGGCATGATAACATAGAACAAAAGAACATATTAGAAACCACCTCATTGCAATGGTTGAGTGCCATGGCTCCTTGTCAAACAAGCTACTTCGTAGCTTCCTATGTATACACGCGAAAATCTCCGTAGCAGAGTTGATAACAGCCGAGAACCCTGTCTGTCTACCTAGCCAGATGCTATATATCCTTGCAATATTTTGAAGATATCATAAGCACATATTGCAACCTAGAATTCGCGGTCTCACTCCACGACAAGGTTCCACTAAGGAACGTATCTGTCGCGTCATGACCAGTAATGGCGGCTGCACCGGCTCCATCCGCGCCGCATGTTAGACTAATCCTATGGATGTGGTTGGCAAGGAACACGGCACAAGGTAAAGGTAGGTAGTTTTCGCGTCCATTCTGTAGGATGGCATTAAAACTGACAACCGGGGACTAGCCAGATACTCAGATATAGTAAAAGCACAGGGCAACGGTAGTCCAGCTGTGACTACCTATGGCAGCTTAGACGACAAAATGCGCTGAGCTGGCCGCTTGAAGTAGTCGCCAGACCTGTCAACTTTTTATCATCCATGACCCAGGTATTTGGCAGGATATGTGAGCCAAGCTCGTCGAGACTTTAACCAAGCTTTTCTTGGCGGTGCGATGTTCTACAAAGCCTTGGCATCTGCAGGCTGACAATCTGGGTAGGGCAGATTCGAGATGCCGTACATGACTGTACTATTATGAAAGATCGAGTCATGTGCCCAGTCAACAAAAGGTTCATTTTCAATCGGCGGATGTGTTTTGCATTGAAGATTTCATAGTTCATTCAATCGGCAAATATATTTTCACCCTTACCATGCCCACTTTGCATATTCGCCGCGCCTGAAAATGGTTATACTCTTATCCCAACATGCTCCAGCCGCATCTCCATCTTGCTCGACACCGTTCGGGAGGCGCTAGGGACCACTAAAGGGACCCCTGCAGCCGCTAGGAAGGTACCCTTCCAATTGGCTCTTCCACCCCCTCCCGTCCATCCCGCGATTGTAAACCTTCTACTATCATGTTGGCTTGCAGGTACTAAGGCAGTGCTAGTTAGTGCCTACCTTACCTAGTACCTAGATACTGAGTAAGGTATCGTCCGTCGCTTCTACTTGCTGCTGCTACCGCCGCCATCCATCTCCGCCTCCACGACCCAATACTCGTCATTCGCTCACTCTGGTCACATTTTCTGCCTCTGCTCATCTATAGTGTATAGTATTTGTATTTCTGATTGGGTTTATTGTTATTCATATTCTCGGCCGATTTCTTGGATGTCGATCTCGCACCCTCTTGTACCCCTCCTGCAGGCTTAGAACACGCAGCCGCAACCGCCGCCGACGCGCCCACAGATTGAAAAGCCTCTGCTTCAACGTTCGTACCCGCTGCATACATATAATTCAACGGCTTCCCGATAAGACTTAAAAAACAACCCAGAGCAAGAGGCTGCGAGCTCTCGCTCCAAGGATTGCGACGTCGGTTTCTGAGCTCGACGTCGCTCTCGACCTCGGATCCTGGTTCCTCTTATGCCTTTGGCACCACGTCTGGGAATGGGCCGCCGGTCGAGATCTTCTCCCTCGCTCTCCAATCCCACAGGAGCTCCTGGTCCTGCGAACTCTAACGTTCCAAATACGCCTACGAACCTCGAGATATCTTCTCCCGCTGAGCCTGCTGGCTCGGCGACCTCTGCCGCCCGGCGGGCTCCCTCCCCCACCGCATCTACCACCTCTTCTACGCGCCCAAGATTTCTTTCGCGACTGAGCCTCCCTCTCTCACTCCCTTTGCGCAATCGGAATCGCAATATCACCGACTTTCATATTCGTGCTGAGGAACCACACCGTCGATACAGTGCTGGCGACAATGTCCGTGGTGCTGTCGTCATAGTCGTCGTAAAACCTGTTCGCATTACTCATTTAACCGTTTCGCTACACGGATATGTCCGTGTCCTAAAGGATCCGACTTCGGTCGCAAAGGCGCAAGGAAGCATCGTGCTACCGCAGAATGGGGACTCGGCGCGCCCACGATATCACGGCAATGGTCTCGCAAGCCTTTTTCAAGATGAGCAGGTATTAAGCGGCGAGGGGAGGTTGGAACCTGGCAGATATGAGTTTGGGTTCGACCTACTGTTTCCTGACAAAGGGCTTCCAAGCAGTATTGACGTAGGTTTGCTGCTTGCCTCAACAATTCCCTTATCACTAATTTACTTTGCAGTTCGAGCGAGGGACCGTTTCATACATGGTAACTGCTACGCTGACTCGGCCAACATCGATTGCCCCAACATCATCATGCGAGCGAAAAGTTATGTTAGTAGAGAATGTGGATGTTGGACTGCTGCCCATCCCTCGGCCGCGCACCATCTTCTTAGAACCGATATCGAAACGAAATCGTAGGAGAAAGTCCATGGTGATGGACAAATCAGCTGCAGCTCCTTCCGACATCAACGAATTCAATTCGGAGCAAGATCCATTAGAAACACCAACGGAAGACCTTCGTGAGCAGGTGACAAATCCGAGAAGTCCAATACAAAGCGATATGCGAAGCGAAATCAGCGGCGAAAGTGGTGTCAGCAACAGCACAAGCTTGAGTAGGCCGGAAGCCGCGCTGTCCCAGGTCGGGACACTCACATCGGCTAAGCAACAAGCAGTTGATAAAAAGACGATTACCGCGACAGTCGAGCTGCTGAAGGGCGGTTGCTTGCCGGGTGATGCCGTCTCCGTGCGGGTCACGGTTCAACATACTAAACGGGTGAAGAGTATGACTGGTGTGATTGTAACACTCCTCAGACAAGGCAAAATCGACAGCAACCCACCGAGTGCTTTGTTTGACGAGAGTTTAAGCCGTGACGATGTAGCTCGCATTGATAAGGAGGATGTGTTTCCGCGATCTCGTACCGGTTTGGGTGGTCTTTCGTTGACATCTTCGAGTTCTACAAGCATATTCCGTAAGGATCTTGACCAGAACATAGCACCGCTAATCATCGACCCTAACACCATGCAAACGTCGGTCACGGTGACCGTTAAGCTACCTGACGACTCCTTTCCGACAATAAAAGGTGTACCTGGAGAGATGATCAGCTTCAAGTATGTGGTTGAGGTAGTTGTTGACCTCGGCGGGAGACTGTCAAATCAAATGCAAACTGGCCCAACCAGATTCGGACCTTACGGCCATGGAAGTGCAGACAATCATACATATGGGCCAAGAAGAGGTGCCAATATTGCAGACACTTCTCAGATGCGCCACGAAAAGGGCGTTATCGCGGTGTCGATGGAAACAGTCGTTGGCACAACTGATTCATCTCGCGGGAAGAAAAAGTCGAGAGCTTCGCCCACTTCACGAAGCGTACAGATTCTTGAAAGCGATGAAGAAGAGGTGATGGGCCAAGAACCAAACTATGCCGACGATCCTCCCTTGGAGCCATACTCGAACAGCACGCCACTCTCGCCTGGGGGTTATTTTCCATCCCAGGTCAATGGGAGCCGACTTTCGACGATCCCTTCTCATCCCCCACAGCCATATTCTCAAGTGGTCCCGGTGCAACACCCGTCGCTCCGGCCTCGAGACGTTGCTGGGTCAAATTCTGACGGCCCTGTTCCCTCTCCAGCCGCGCCTTCATACATCCCACCTCCTGAAATACTTAACCAGAACAATCTTTCTGAGAAGCAGAGGATTAGGCAAGCAGAAACACGACTTCTACCAAGTCGACCGCTGGAAGCGGGCCCATCGACAAGTCACGATGGCGAAGATATATACGATGCAGACGATACGTTCCGAGTTCCTGAGCTCGGTGGTGGCTTTGTTCCAAATGATCTCAACGCTCCAAGTGCCCCCGATGCGGGACCTTCGGCCCCTCTAGAAGACGATGTCGACTTGCCAACAGTGCTTCTCCCAGGGGTTGTTGAAGACAAACAGGAACTCGAACGTCAACGGCTTTTGAACGAAGCCAGTGCACCGCCAGACGTTCCGGAGGATATGCTACGACGAGCAGACGAAGGCCCACCGAGTGAGGTGGAAGCTGATGCGGAAGCGAGCGCACCAAGCGCCCCAGTTGTGGACAATTATGATGATTTTCCAGGTTACGGATCTAGTGCGGGACCTTCTGGGACTTCAAGGCATGTCGACGGAGAGCAACTACCAGCCTACCAAAGATAAGCTAGTGTACGCGGAGGCGTATGTATTGCATAGGTGTATGAGTGTATGGGATATGATGGGTATACTATATAATTTTGCCGGCGCATAAGTGGGAACCCTTAACGTTTGGATATATGATGAAAGTCAAATCATGACCAAGTTGTTACTATCTGTACCAACAAATAACAATAATCACTATTGAGGATGAAGATTAGCATTGAGCTAAAGTTATTTCTTGTTTGAACTTCCGGTCATTGATTCCAGTAAGAAATCGCGATCTATCATCTCACTAAACACCTCAGAGAGGTATTCAACAATGATATACAAAGATCATAAGTACCGTGAACTCCGTCCCAGACAACTCGCCCTCGAGATCATGGGTCATCTCGAGGTTGCCGGGCAAGGAAAACGCCTGGATCCCTGTATCACGCTGTATATCTCCGATCTAAGATTAATGAAAAGCAATCCACTGCCTAGTCGTTGCAAAGAGCTTACTTGAAACATAACTCCAAGAGAAAGCTCCAGGTGTAAATCCGCTCCCATTGTAAGATTCTATCGCCAATTGAAACCATGCAAGTATCTTCAAAGCAGTGCTCATGATATATGGGACAGGTTTAGTCACATACTTATCTTATCATAAGGTGTCAAGAAGCTGGGTGGTACCCAAGCAATACCACCATGACTTTTCGTTTCTGTCTATTAATGCTGTAGCACAACGTGATGGCCCTTCTCCCAGTTATCCAAACTTTCCTCGATATTGACCCAATAGCGCAGACGCACAGCCTCATGTTTCGCAGCTTCGATATCATCATGCTGAAACGCGCGCTCGAGGATCTGTTCGCTCTCCGCAATCCGTGCGTCGTTCGCAGCACGAGGTTCGTCTAGATCCTCTTCGTGCTCTGCATCTTCAATCTCCTCGCGTGCCTCAAGCACAAGCATTAATAGTTCTGGCTCTTCTACCTTGAGGGTCTCATCATTGGCGACGTCAACGCCTCGAAGAGAGAGTAGATATTGTGCTCGAAGAAGAGGGTTAGAAAGCGTCTTATAAGCGTCATTTATGCGTGCTGACATGGCCTCGGCACGAGCTTTGTCCTGAGCAGGATGCATATCCGGATGAGCCCGAGCTTGCAGACGGAGAAACTCACGGCGCAAAGCGCGAGTATCGATAGGAAAGTGTCCTGCCGGGGGAGGACCATCGGGAAGCGTCTCGGGGAACAGGTCATAGTGTGTCAAGGGCGGTGCACTGGACGAGGCCGGTTCTTGCTCGGGCTGCGCGGCACTAGATACGGTGCAGGCATGAGCTCTGTTCGCAGCTGGGCCCCGAACCGCCGCTGCGAGAGCTACATGATGTCGTGTGGGCGTCGTTGGGACAGATGGTCGATGCGATGGCACAAGAGTTGTAGCTCGGCGAGCTCGGAGTTGACACCGGACACAAAGCCGAGAAACATCGCGCACGGCGGGAGAAGAAACAGAGAGTCGCATACTTTAGGGCATACAGGAACAAAGGTATAGAGAAAGAGGGTATGTGGGAATGCACTGAAGTAAATATCCGAGACGGGAAATTTCACTGATAAAAAATAAGATGGTCGTTCCGGGCAAGTAAGTATAGCTTTAGAAGGCGCTTTTCCGATGGATGTCGTAATAAATCGTTAGCGCAAAATTGACCTCATCGGTTGTGGCGCATGTAACCCGATTTGTGGCGTTGGGTTGTCATGATGGCTCTCAGCCTCAGTCTCAGGGCTTTGTCCTTTACCTAGCGGGGCTCTTATCGTGAAACCAGTGTGTCAGGGGCCCTATCATAAGTCCTTGCCCATGTGGTTCCATAGTTTTTCGGCCAAGGTCGCCGGCCATGATCGGGATCCAGTCCGACCCAATGGCGGATAACGTAATTGTACGCAGGCGTGTAATGCGCGCCATGATGAGACTGAAGAATGAATATCTCCATGTAAATTGAATCGTTTCTCACGAAGGCTTCCTTGTGATACCAAGGCAGCCCATTTGTTTCTCTTGGGCATTTAGTCACATTTTCGTTTCTATTGCATTGTCATAACATCCAATTTACCTCACACAAATCACCCCCAAGGAAACCCCCAATTCTGAGAACCCAATTGGAGGCGGGACAGTATCTGCCGAGTCTGTAGATCAGTCAAACTGGCCTCGACGTTTTAATAGACCGTTTCGCGCCACCTCTTTCCTCCTGCAACTCAATTGACTCAACTCTGCACATATACAGCATGGCCAAGATTTTCGACGCGGCTGAAGGTATGAACAGCATCGATTGGAGCTTAACATTGTTTACAGAAGGCGCAATAACTGACATACTCGCGATAGTGGCCAAACACAACACCCCGGAGAGTTGCTGGGTCATTCTCTATGGCAAAGTCTACGATGTGACTGAGTTTCTTCCATCGCACCCCGGCGGTAAGAAGATCATCCTGAAGCTCGCGGGAACGGATGCCACCGATGAATATGATCCCGTTCACCCACCGGGAACCCTCGAGGACAACCTGAAGCCTGAGAATATCCTCGGTGAAGTGAATCCCGAAACACTCACTGACTCCCAAACGACCGGCAAAAACACCACCACACTATCCCGAGATACCCAGCCGCCACCAATGGCATCACTCATGAATCTTGATGAGATCGAGGAGGAGGCTACCAAGCGCATTTCGAAAAAGGCTTGGGCATACTACTTCTCGGCCTCTGACGATCTATTTTCAAAAACATACAACAATCATGTCTATAAAAATATACTCCTTAGGCCACGCGTATTTGTTGATTGTACAGCTTGCGACCTTTCAACCACATTGATTGGCAACAGAGTCGGGCTACCAATATTTGTCGCCCCTGCTGCTATGGCCCGCCTAGCTCATCCCGATGGAGAACAAGGCATCGCCAAGGCATGCTCTCGATTCGGGGCCATGCAGATTGTGTCGAACAACGCGTCGATGACTCCTGAGCAAATCATTGAGGGTGCACAGCCAGGTCAGACCTTTGGTTGGCAACTCTATGTCCAGAACCAGCGAGAGAAAAGCGAGGCGATGCTCAAGCGCATCAACTCTATGCGAGAGTACTACAAATTTGTCTGCTTGACCCTTGATGCGCCTGTTCCTGGGAAACGCGAGCTGGATGAGAAGCAAAACTTTGATTACTCTGAACCCAGCCCTGCCAGTGGTGAGAGCAAGCCCGGTGCTGGAGGTGTTGGTCAACAGCTATTTTTTGGCACAGCGGCCGACTTGACTTGGAAGACAACTCTCCCCTGGCTAGCTGCCCATACAGATCTACCCGTCGTTCTCAAGGGTCTGCAAACTCATGAGGATGCTTATCTCGCAGCAAAGTATGCTCCTCAAGTAAAGGCCATCATCTTATCAAATCATGGCGGTCGTGCTCTCGATACAGCCCCTCCAGCTATACACACACTTCTCGAAATCCGCAAATACTGCCCTGAGGTTCTGAGCAAGGTCCAAATATGGATCGATGGAGGCATTAAGCGAGGAACAGATGTTGTGAAAGCATTGTGTCTGGGGGCCAGCGGTGTCGGTATTGGACGAGGTGCTCTTTTTGGACTTGGCGCTGGTGGCCAAGCCGGCGTCGAGAGAACACTCGAGAGTAAGCTGAGCCTGTGATTTTGAGAATGCCCGAACCCCGGCTAACACATGCAAAACAGTCCTCGAGGCAGAGACAGCAACATGTATGCGATTACTCGGAGCCAAGAATATCTCGGAGCTCGGACCTAAATTCGTAAGATTTCTCCATCTTTTCCCCAGACTCCGGTCCCCATGGTTGGCGATCTCGACTAACTCGCTTGGCAGGTCAATGCTCGACAGGTGGAACGAGATATCTACGATGGAGATTCAGGGCTGGACCGTCAGGGCTTGTGGACAAAGTCGAAGCTGTAAAGTATGAAGCAGCAGGAGGCGATATCTTCATATGCCAGATGCAGCCTCGGCTTGATTACCAGATCTCGTTTAGTCTCCACTTCAAGTACCAGGGAGCCCTGTTTGCCTAAACGAAGCGGCAACGGCGGGAGCTCTCGGGGAAAGCGGCTTTGGTGATGTGGTGGTCTGGCCAACACCGTTGCCTCTGGGTAACATCGCGGAATAGGGGAAAAGTGAGGCATCATAAACTCTCTAATGAAATCCTTCAAAGCTTTTCCGCATAATGAGTTTCAGTGAGAAAATTGGGATATTTTTACTGCAAGGAGATATTTTACGACAGTAGTTTAAGATAAAAATGCTCAAGTTTTGATTCACTACAGAGTATGTATGTATTACTGTCTAACCCTGCAGGGGGGTCGTGATCCGCTTCGGAGGTAAAAGCAATAAGATCTGAAAGCTAAAATTGAGTAATGGAGGGGAAATGAGGAGAATGATACGATACTGTACAAAGGGCTGGCCGTAATTGTTGGCTGTGCCGAGGAGGCATCATGCGGCGCAGTTGGAATTGGTTTTAAGGGTTGCCTGGCGATGCATCAACGCCCAAGTATCAAACCAGAGTTTGTTAGGTGTTTCGGGATGAACATGCCATGGGACAACGCAGTTCTCTGCAGAGACAAGTACCGATCAGTTCTCTGTCATTCAATTTATCTTGCCCTGTAGTCACGGCGGAAATAATAAGTAGATTCCACAATGGCAAACCAGAAGTAATTTGTGGCGACAATGCAGGGACAAGGGCCATCAAATCAAATCACACCCTTGACTTAGAAAACTTGGAAACCAACCATACCATGAGAGGATGCCCGGCCGAGATGGTGTGTCACAGCCGGCCTTTCCAGAGGGCACATGGATAACTGAGCTGAACCCCTCTGCGCCGCTTGCTTGTCTTGGAGCCACTCCCAAGCTCAGGTGCCGCTTTCTAATGTGGCATGTCGTGTCATTCATGCCAATCAGAATAAATTGGTTGGTTGTCATGACAAGCCACTGAACAACTTTAAATATTTGGTGCAATGAAGGAAGGGGGTGTTACGACCGTCAATGATGATTGATGAGTTTCCGTTAGTTAAGACGAACATTCCAACGTTC